TGCCCTAAGAGGAACCAGAGTCTTTTTCAGGTGGGTGTGGCAACTAATAATTTTTACCCCTAATTTTTACTCTCTGGTAGTCCTTTTAGATTTGTGAATAAACCCTAAGAGGTTCTAAATATTGCAGATCAGGAACCCTAAAAGGTACCAACAAGAGTCCCTTTTCCAAATTAGTTATTTACCCACTTATAGCTACATGTATGCCTTGTAAACTTGTACATAGCATTTTGACCAACTGTTGATGTCATATTGTGATAATTAAGAGGACATACCATGCTAAACCATTTGAAATTTATCAATTTTGCAATCACTATAAAGCAAACAGGGTCTAATAGTTCCTTTCACAGTTCCCAGCGCCATCTTGAATGGTAACCGTGCCTTTGCATTGAAGCAAGACCAACGGTGAGCTTGCAATGATAGAGACCTTTTTTAACACATTGAGCAATTATTCACAGGTCTCTATCATTGTAAGCTCACCATTCGTCTTGCTTCGATGCAAATGCCCGGCTACCTTTCAAGATGGCGCAGGGAACCGTGAAGGGGACTATTGGAGGGGGGATAACCGAATATGGTTATAATAAAGAAAGTTGGTAAGAAGGGARGGGAAGCTATATTTAGGCATAGGAAACTGGAAGGAGAGGAAGCAATGGCCAGTGTGGGACAATAAATACTATGGGAAGAGAGGAACATTTAAATGGTGTTAATTTTTTCACTGCAGGCAGCCACATACACCTTTCAGATATAACACAGAATATGATGATGACTGCACATCTGGTATGTATAGCAGAACTATCTGATCTGGGGAAAAATATCAGCCTATCAGAATCAAGAAAATTTGGAAAACTGAGGTGTTGCTTTTCCTATTGAAACTATAAATTTCCAGGCCACTATATGAAAACAAATATAGCATTGCTATTAACTTTTTTAAAACTATTTTTGCACAGTTCCATTCAGTGACCACAAATGATAGTTCCATCGAGGCTGGAGTTTCCGCGCATAGTAAAACTACAATTTATCATGTGCGGCAACTCCAGCCTCGGCTTGGAACTATTATTCATGGTCACTGAATGGAGTATTCACTGTAAAATGGAGTATTTCTCTAGGAAATCAATGCAAGGGGTCTATAGATGTAACACTCATGTTAAGAAACATTTCACCATTCAACTATTCATCTTTATATGGAATCAATACTGAAAGTATGATCTCTGGGTTTAGGTGCACTTTAATTTGAACTTCTTACACTTTTTTGCTGTGTCTTAATGCGGATGAACGTTTTTTTTACAATTCATTTTGCTTCTTTCGGTCTATACTTCTGGCGTATAATCAGCTAATACTGCATCTGTGCTTTGATTACGGTTTCCTTGGACTGTCGGTTTTAATGGTTTTCGTTTGTATACTTCCATTGTCTAATTACTTGCTTCCCCTGTAAAAAAAAAGAGAATTAGCAAAGAGATCACAAATGTGATGTCCCAAATCTCTTTGGAAAAACTTTAGAAATTGGAGGAATGTTGCATAGTGAATTTGCAGAATGTTTGTTGCCAAAGCTCGGAGGAGCTTCAACAACGATGTAGGCGACCGATCTACTGAACAATAATATAGTGCAGTGCATTGTGGTTGTGTGGGATTCTTTGAGGGCACTATGTACGAGTCCTCCTAGCACACTCRCCAAGATCACTGCGATCGTTTTCTTCCATTTCGTCTGATTCTTTCTCTAAAGTAGAATTTCCGTCTTCTCCACGAGTACTAGAATTTCCAATTCTCTGTTTAGAAAACGATAGTAGATTTATAGTGATAATTATAATATATTAATAAATTAATCTCTTTATAGACATGTATGAAATGGCATATACATGGCATATGAAATGTTTGGATCTCCTCAGAAGATCCAAAATTAAAAAATCAAAACCAGTGGAACCAGTTACCATATGCTCAGGTGCTGATATGCAAGCGATTGAGACTTTTATAGAGCGTTTTCACGTGACGTCACAGCGGCCATTATGTTGTACCAAAACAATACATTTTCTATCCTCCGGGAATTGAACTCTATTTTTATGCAAATACTGTGCAGTTTCTATTGTTAATGGCTGCCTTCTCACGGGAGTGAAAACGATCTATACCCGTTATAGTTATATTAGTGGTATCGCTTTGGATAGACTATTCGGAAAGCAGTTTATATAATGAATTATAAAATGCAGTGGCCCAAGTACTGATCCTTGGAGGACACCGTGTGTGATTACAGCAGGCTCCGAGGCAACCCTGTTAAACTTTTCAGTATTTTATTTTACATTATGTTCATAATCCATTTTTAGGGATTTAGGTGGTTTTATAAACCTGGCAATCAAATTCACAACTCACCTCATTCATCTCTTCTTCAGACACTAGTTCAGCTGAAAGAAACAAAAGGTGGATCATTTGTTATTAAGATCAAAAGGTACGAGTAAAAGTTTCAAGATGGCGACCATGTCAAAATCTGTTAACAAATCCTTTCGCACGATTGGGACTATGTCAAATGCCTCAAGGGTAGAGTCCACCCACCTAATATTAATTTTTAGTTACAAATGATAGGGTATTACTTACGTTTTGACACGTTATCGTCTTTGACTGAGGATTCGTTATAAGAAGGCATATCAGATGATGGCTTTGGATTCAATTAGTAATCATTAGACAACTGACAATACGAAGATTGCCCTATTAAAGTGCACACTCGATTGCAGGAAGGTCGTATAATACATTTATACATATATAGATACAAATTATCAGTTAGACGACATAAAAGCGCGCGCCCATGGCGATATAGACGCACGAGAGAAAATATAAAGAACGATTAACAAGCGAAAGAGTGGCGAAGCCGAGTGACACTCTAGCTTGTTAAGAGTTCTTTATATTTTCTCAAGTGCGTCTCTATCGCCATGGGCGAGCGCTTTTTTGTCGTCTAACTGATTTATAATATGACCAAAAATCTACCGTGCGACCCATGGGCAAATAGTTCATAGGCATTTCAGCCAATCAGAGCGCGCGTTATATCACCCATCTCGCTCGTGCGCGCGCTATTGACGCCATCGGGTTTGAAAATTTAGAGAAAAATGGCGAGCGTCCGTTGAGATCAGCGTGCGCGAGCCTGCAGCCCATGGGGATAGTTCATTGGTTTTTGGCCAATCAGAGCGAGCGTAATAATCTAGTTATATTATAATGCCTAATTAGATGCAAAAACATGAAAAAATAAATAACTTTGTACCCGTCATATCTGTACCACACATACAGTTAAGTCAAAAGCTTTACTTTTTGGATTAGAAATGTTTCCTATGATCATGACACTTAAATATCATCATCATGATCATAGCCATTGTTATTATCATCTTTCATCATCATCATCCTCGATCATCAGTCATCCCAATCATCCTCCCTATTATCCCAACCAGCACCAGCACCACTAGACAGGGCAGAAAAAGCGTTTTTGGCCTTTCGCCATAAGGACAGCTTTAAGAGGCAATGTCCACAAGAATCGAACAAATTCAAGAATTCGTGGCAAGGGTCAAAATATCAAATTCGCTCTTCTTTTAAAGTTAGATAGGCCATTATTAGATATGAATCACTGGGTAGTTGGTTTTCGAAAATTTTATTTTATTTTCGAGAATTCGGCCACAGAAGAGGTTCGACCGAAACCCAAGCAAGAGACGCTCAAGAGGAGTGAAAATGGACAAACTTTGAACAGAGCGCGCGTAAAAAATAAACCATCTATGACCATTTTTGAACTTTCTTCTTAATGTATCACTCTTTTTCGTTCATTGGACTGGATTTCAAGCTTATTGGGAAAGGGACGAATTTTTGGCGAGGGAAAATAGGAGGCCTGTGTTTACATATGCTAATTAGTTGCCTCAAAAGAAAAAAAGATTTAACTATGGGCAAGTTCTCTGATTGAAATAACATTTATGCTTCAAGTTGAGGAGGAATAGACCTTTTCAAAACTTTAAAGATTGATTTGGGGAAATTAATTCTGACTGCATAGAAACCTGTTGAATTTGGTTGAAATACATGCGAAAATCACGCTTCTCCAATCAACGCAGGACTAAGGATTTTCGTATAGATGGCCATGAAATTTACCCTGAAAACTAGGAAATTAATGTTTGTGCCGTTGTTTGAAAGTTCAAAGTGGTTTGGTAAATTTAAGCTCCATTGGAAAGGTTTTGGGATTGTCGGTACTAAGCAAAAAAGGCGATCTTTGGTGATTGCGTGACCGAGGTTCCACTTTACGTTTAGAAGTTTGATTACTGTAAAATTCACGCTAAAAAATACGATAGAAACCGCGTTCTTTAAATAGCTTTATAATCTTGTTTTAATCGAATAAGTTTTGGGTCGATAAAAAAGCGGTTTCAACAGTTAGTATATATATTCTTAGAAAACTCATTAATAATTCATGAAG